GTCCTCCCGACGCGCGGGCTGCTCCTCCTCCTCCTCCTCCTCCTCCTGGCCTGTAGTGCTGACCCCGTGTGCCACCCGTGTCTCTTCTCCTTAGGACAGAGCACTTGGGAACACCTCGGGATGTGTGCTAGAGCTTCCGTGTGACACCAGCCCGCTGTCGGATTGTGTTTGTTCCCTCCTCCCTTTAGTTTTGTAGGAGGTTTCCAGCCTCCCTGGCTTCTCCACCAGTGCCTTGCTCTTTGATTTATTTCCATGTTCTTTTCCCAACTCTAATAATTTTATTTTGATTTCTTCTGTTCTCTTGGAATTTCTGGGAATGCCTCCTCACCTGGTTTGGGTTACATATCTGCTTCTGGATAAATCCTTCCCTTTCAGTTCCACGTGACCTTTTGTGTTTGGATTTTTCTTGGTGTTTCTTTTCCTTCCTGGCCAGCAGCATGTTCCTAAGGAGTTCTCTGATGCAGCAGCACTGAGGAGGTGCAGCCATTCCTAATGCAGCCTGTGGGAGCAGGGGGAACATCCTGCCAGTGCAGAGCCCAGCCTTGAGCTCAGTGACTCCATCCAGGGCAGCAGCAGAGCTCTGGGAGCAGAGGCTGTGCTTGGCCCAGAATTGCTTTTTGTTCTTACTTGTGGCAAGGCTTCCCTGCCTTCACTCTGCTTTTTTTGGGAGTTCATACAATCAGATTCTGTAGAGAAGAATTTTGCTCCAGGTGTAAAACCTGCATTTGCCTGAGGAAATGGCTGCTGAGTTTCAGGTGGAGGGAATTAAATCTGCAGTGTGCAGGTGCAGGAGAACTCGTTTTGGGTGGTTTCTCAGTGCCCTCAGCTGACAGAAGATCAGAGCAAAAGTGTGATCTTTCTCCTGTGCTCTGTGCACAAATAACCCTTTAATGCCCTACTGCATACAAACCTCTATTTTGTATCTTGATTTTTTTATTTGGGAACCTTGAAAAATCCCCCCTAGAGCTGTCCCCAAGGCCTGGTGCTGCTGTGGGCACTGCTGGATCAGAGACCTTCCCTGTGGGAATGGAACAGCCTTGGTGCACGTGGAGGAATGGCTGTGACCCAGTGCTGTGGGGGGGCTGCAGGGACACCGGGTCCCTGAGCTGGAGCTGCTCAGCCCCAGCCCCCCCTCGCCCCTCCCGTGTCCTTTGGGCTCCCAAAGGGCTGGAATGCTTGCATGGCCTCCAGCAGCCCCTCTGCCATGCTGGGAATGACCCTGGAAATGTGTCTGCTAGGGAGGGCTGTGTGCTGGAGAGAGCCTGGGGCTCCAGAATTGTAAATACGGATCCACCAAGAGGGAAGGAATGATGAGGAGGATCCCATCTTATCAGAAGGATAATTTATTACTTTATTATACTGTACTGTACTAAAGAATATAGAAAGGATACTTACAGAATGCTAAAAAGATAAAATGAAACTCCTGACTATTTCCAGAGTCCTGACACAGCCTGGCCCTGATTGGCCAAAGAGTGAAAACAACTCACAGCAGAATCAATGGAACAATCACCTGTGGGTGAACAATCTCCAAACACATTGCACATGAGCACAGCACAGGAGAAGCAAATGAGATAAGAATTGTTTTCCTTCTCTCTGAGGCCTCTCTCTGCCTTTCAGCTTCCCAAAGGAAAGCTTCCCTGGGCAAGGGGATCATGTTCAGAGAATGTGAATGGCACACTCCAGAGCAGCTGTGGGGGATTTACAATGCTGCTGGTGTGCAGGGCCAGCCTTTGGCAGCACAGGGCAGGGGCTTCCCTCCCTCAGGCCCCTGAGCTGCTGCAGGGACTGCACTTCTGCCTCTCCTGCCTTCCCAGGCTGTTCCAGCTGCTGCTGCTGGGTGGGAGCTGCCTCCTGAGTGCCTTGTGTGGGATCACAGTGCTCTGTGGGATCCCACTGCTCTGGGGCCCTGCTCTGTGGGATCACACTGCTGTGGGGCCCTGCTCTGTGGGATCACACTGCTGTGGGGCCCTGCTCTGTGGGATCCCACTGCTCTGGGGCCCTGCTCTGTGGGATCTCACTGCTCTGGGGCCCTGCTCTGTGGGATCTCACTGCTGTGGGGCCCTGCTCTGTGGGATCTCACTGCTGTGGGGCCCTGCTCTGTGGGATCACACTGCTGTGGGGCCCTGCTCTGTGGGATCTCACTGCTGTGGGGCCCTGCTCTGTGGGATCACACTGCTCTGGGGCCCTGCTCTGTGGGATCACACTGCTGTGGGGCCCTGCTCTGTGGGATCCCACTGCTTTGGGGCTCTGCTGTGCAGGGCAATAAGGAGCAAACCCTGAGTGCCTTCCCCTGTGTGCTCCTGCTGGGAGGAGGAGCCCATGGACATCAGCTGCTGCCTGAGCCTGCTGGAGGAAGAGGAGGAAAACGGGGATGAAGTTCCCAAGGTGTCCCTGGAAGTGGAGCCCCTTCCCTGAGCCTGCCCAGGTGGCCTCAGCTGCTCCATTCAGTTTGTGTTGGAAATGGGAATCGTGTGGCTCAGTGGAGTTGGAGTTTGCAGCTGCTGCCCTGCTGTGACACCAAAGCCCCACAGAGCACAGGCTCTGTCCTGGCCTCTGCAGAGATCAGCTTGCTTCTGAAAATCTGGCACCCAGGAGCCACCATCTGCCTTCCACCTCCTTCTGCATTTGGAACCAGAATTTCACTTGCTGGGTTTTTTTTTTTTAGTTGCTTTGCTTGGGTTTTAACTGTAAAAGCTGAGCTTACATAAAATGGGCACTTGAAGTGATATGTAAAAAGTGATTTTCTAGGTAAGCATCCTCCTTTGCTACTGCTGTCCCAGTATTCCAGTTGCACTTCGTCTCCTGCAATTAAATCAGGAGACTGATCCATCAATTTGCTTTTTTAATAACCAAATCAAAGGAACATAAATGCAGGTGAAGCTGGAAATGAGACTTAGAGCTGCCTTTAGTTGTGTTAAACTAAAACTGAAAAGGTTGCAGGTCAGTCACTGAGTTACTATTTCAGACACACTCCAAAAATATTCTCAGAGCTCTGCCAGTGTTTTTGTGGGAATGCAGATGAGCTTTTTGGGGGTGGAAAAGCACACAGGGCGGGCCAGGAATGGTGCATGATATGAGAATAACACAACAATTTTGGGCCCAAACAATCCTTGAAAGGATAAAATAACCAGTGTGGGAGAGATGAGGCAGAAACAGAGTGAAAATTAAATCACACAAACAGCAACTGCAGTGTTTCTGCAGTTAAAGAATGATTTAAAGAGCTGGATTTCCAAGAAGGATATCCAGGACTGGAATGCTGCAGGTTGTCAGAGGATGGATATTTTTCCTCCCTGGGCACTAATCTAAGGATTAGATTAAAAATCCAAACACGAAAGGTGCCACGGGATTCAGGGATGTTCCTTCCTTGTGTGGAAAGCTGGGATGGTTCTGACACAAAATTGGGATTTTCTGTTCTCTCCTTGTGTTTCATAACCTGCATTCCAGAGGCTCCATGGATCATAAATTCATATCCCAAACTGTTGCCACAAGGCATGGCAGAGATTCCAGAATCCAAATTCCTTGGATGACTTGCAGAAATCAGGGAGATGTCTGTGCTGCTTCCTCAGCCTCCTGCAGCCAGAGGGGAGGGAGGAAGGAGCAGCTGGAGCTGCACCTCTGGAATCAGCCAGGAATTCATCCCAGGCAGGGCTCACAGCAGCAGTTCCACACACAGAGCCTCTGGGCTGGCCTGCAGGCCAAGCTGACCCTAAAACCCTTTTTTTTTTTAAGACGAACAGCAAGAATTGTGCCATTTTTAACCTCTGCCGTCCTGTGTGAGGTGGTTTTTCACAGAATGCTGCAGACCCTGCAGCAGAAAGGTCTTTTAGCCAGGTTTGAGAAGCAATTTCTGTGGCTGAGAATGAGGCAGCTGTGTGTGCTGGGGAGCAGCAGCACCTGCAGGGGCTGAGGGCAGCGTGGTTCCCAAACAGCAGCACAGTGCCCTCACTGATTTTAGCACTTCTGAAAGGCTGTGCCCTCAAGAATGGGAATTTGCTGTTGCCAGGTGGGGCTGTGGAGTGGAACAGCCCCAAAGCAGCCAGCAGAACTCCTGGGCTCTGCTCGTGCACTGGGGCTTTGTTCTTTAGAAATGTTTGTGCTCAAGGTTACCTCAGATACAAACCCTTGCAGTCTGATGTTAGTCTGCTGTATGTCCTCACATTTCACTGGCAGATTTGGGTGCTGCTCTCAGCTGTTCTCCCTCAGCCTCCTGCCTTCCCAGGGAAGATGTGCCCTGTGGAATCTCCTGGCTGCACCTGGGGCCACAGCAGCCTTTGGGTGGGGAACATGCAGAATAATACTGAGAAGCCTAAATTTGAGTGCTGTTTATGTAAAAATGGGTTTGTTTGAAACCTTAAGGAGAAGAATTCACAGAATGACCAGGTTGGAAGAGACCTTCAAGACCATCGAGTCCAGCCCAGCCTCAACACCCGGTGCCACATCCAGGCTGTTTTAAACACACCCAGGGATGGGGACTCCACCACCTCCCTGGGCAGAACATTCCAGAAGTTTATCACTCTCTCTCTAAAAAACTCTTTCCTGATATCCAGCCTAAATTTCCTCTGGTGCAGCTTGAGACTGTGTGCTCTGGTTCTGTCAGTGCTGCCTGGAGAGACCAACCCCACCTGAGCACAGGCGTCTTTAGGGAGTGATAAGGTGGAAGAGTGATAAGAACCAAGTGCCAGCCAGCAAGAAACCTGTGGAGGAGTAACTGAAGCCTCATGTTCAGCCCCAGGAGTTGGTGTGGGAAGCACAGAGTGTGTCCCTGGTGTCACCTGCAGTGTGGGATTCCCAATAAACATTAACCCCTCCCGTCTCTCCCCAGCAGCGCGGCCCCGGGCGCTGCCCGCCAGCTCCGAGCTCTGTGGTTTGGTTGTGCTTCCTCCGTGTGTCCCGCAGTGCCATCCCCCGTGTGGTGCCCTCCCCTCCCGCCCCCTGTGCCACCACGTAGAGTAGCTGGCACTGTCCCCAGGGCCGGCCCTGACGCTGTCCCTGCCTTGCAGAGCCGCGGATCAACGCCAGCGAGGACGTGGTGCTGCACGTGGCCGGCGTGGCCGTCACGCTGCAGTGCAACCTGACCAGCAGCCCCAGCCCCCTGGCCGCCAGCTACTGGGTGAAGAACGGAGAGGAGATCCCGGGCACCAGGAAGGCCTCCAACACCACCGAGTACAGGTCGGTGCTGGGCTGTGCTGGGGACAGGGGCACTCCTGCTGGTCACACAGTGGTGGCTCAGCCAGTTCAGAGCTCTTCTCCAGGGCTCATTGTGGGTCTGTTGATGCACATCGTCCTGGAAACCAAAATCCCAGCTGGAATGAGAAATGGGGATGGGCAGGGATGGTGTTCCTGAGGTCTGGGTGGCCTGGGCTGAGCCAAAGGACAAGGGCACTCGTGGTGTTCCTTCCCGCAGTGGGCTGGGCCAGGCCTGCCCTGGGGAGGATAGAGATGGTGCTCCTGAGGTGTGGGTGCTGGGCTGAGCCAGGGGACGAGGGCACACCCGGTGTTCTCACAGTTTACACTGGCTGAAGTAAAACTGTCAGTTCAGAGCTCTTCTCCAGGGCTCACGGATGGGTCTGTTGCTGCACATCCTCCTGGAGCCCAGAATCCCAGCTGGAATGAGAAATGGAGTAGGGATGGTGTTCCTGCCCTGGGAAGAGCGGGGATGGGATGGTGTTTGTTCCCTGGGGAAGAGCAGGGATAGTGTTCCTGAGGTGTGGGTGCCTGGGGTAAGCCAGGGGAGCAGGGCACTCCTGGTGGTCCCATAGTGGTGGCTCTGTCAAACTCTGGCAGTTCAGAGCTCCTCTCCAGGGCTCATGGGTGGGTTTGTTGCTGCACATCATCCTGGAACCCAAAATCCCAGCTGGAATAAGAAATGGGAATGAGGAAAGGGATGGGCTTGTGTTCCTGAGGTGTGGGTTGCCTGGGCCAAGCCAGGGGACAAGGGTACACCAAGTGTTCTCAGAGTTGTGATTCAGTAGAACTGTCAGCTCAGAGCTCTTCTCCGGGGCTCATTGTGGGTCTGGTGTTGCACATCATCCCAGAGCTCAAAATTCCAGCTGGAATGGGAAATGGGAATGGGCAGGGATGGTGTTCCTGAGGTGTCGCTGGGGTGGTTTGGTCATGATTTGGTGGTTGTGGGATGATCCCAGCCCTTGGCTGGAGCTGGTGGATCCCATGCAGCTCCCTCAGTGTTGCCCTCAGAGTTCCCTCTGTGATTTTTCTGCGCTGTTTTTTATTTCCATCCTTTTTCTCCCTTGATGCACGGCAAACCCAACTTCCAGTTCCACCTTAAGCTAGGCTGAAGAGCTCTTTAGGGATGTTTTAACCCCTGCTGACAACTTGGTCCCAACTGTTTTCTGTCTGTAAAGGGGCCCTTTTCCCCCTGCTTCACTGACACAGAATTAGGGTATATTTGGGATATTTAATTGTAATTATGCTGATTAGGGGATGTTAAGGTTTCCATGGCCTTAGAAAAGCAGCCTCTCATCCACAGCATTTTGAAAGCTGGGTTTGATCCTGATTAATGATTTGTCCTTTCATTTTCCCCTTTAGCTCATTTTGAATTACCTTGTTAATTTTGCAACTAAAAACTGACTTTCATTTCCTTCCATAATTCCTTCCTGACCCTCCTCAGTGCAGTGTTCAGCCCTGGGCCTGAGCTTTAGGGGCTTCCCTGGATGGGAGTGGTGCTCAGGGTTCCTGGGAATTGCCCAGTATTGCCCAGCAAGGGCCTGGCTGAGGCTGTTCCAAGCCAGGCCGGATTTTCCTTCCAAATTCCTCTGTAAAGGAGGATTTAGACACTGCTGGGGAAGGAGGGAGTGAAGTGGGAGAGCACCACAGTCCCCTGTCCCCAAGGAATGGGGGATTCCCAGCAATCCCAGGCACAGCAGGAGAAATCCCAGGTTCCATCTGCAGAGTAGATCCTGAATTCCTGAGCACTCCTGGGCTGCTTTGCTGCTGCTGGAGTTCAGGCTCTCTCTGCCCCTTTGGTGCTTTGGTTACATTTTAAATCCAGGAATTCCAGGTTTTCTCAGTGAAAAACAGCAGCAGCATAGCTGTGGTTAACAGAGGGTGTTTCCCTCCCCCATTTATTTATATTTTATATTGGTTCATTATTTAATTCCCTTAAGCTCTCAGGTTCTTGTTTTTTCAGTCACTTTGTTTTGCTGTCAGATGTTTTTGGTGCTTGGAGTTCAGAGCTGGCTACTTTTATCATCCAGAAAGCTCCAGAATTTAGAGATTAAACTGTTTCAATTAAAAATGCTGCCTGTTCCAGCACTGGCACTGGGGTGAACCTCTCCTAACCCTCATCCAGCTCGGGGTGGCTGCTCCAGCTGCAGGGAGCTCCTGTGAGCCTTGAGCTGTGTCAGTTTGCAGCTCCTGAGTGATTGATGGCCACCAGAGCTGGGGAGAGTCACAGAACTCCCCCTTGTCCTTCCTCTCCTCACTCTGGGCGTGGCTGCAGGTGCTCAGCGTGCTGCTGAGCTGCTCTGCCATTGCAGAGCTCCTTATCTGAAATTATTCACTTTATAACTGGAGTTTGGGTGTGTAAATGCTGTCAGCACTCAGCCTGAAGTGAGCAGCTTTTTCCATGTGTCTCAGCAGTTTCCAGGGGTCATGAAATGATTTTATTGCAGGGTTTGTGCTCTTCTGCGGGGGCTCTTTTGCTTGATTGAAAAAGAATTCATAAAAAAGGGAAGAATAATAAATACAATAATTATTAATAAATAAAAGATTTAATAATAAATAAAATACTTAATAATGAATAAAATAATTAATAAAAAGGAATAATTTTAAAAGCAATAATTAATACAAATAAATCAATAAAAAAGGAGTCTTCTAGGGGAGGAAACTGCTTCAGTGTGTGCTGGGGAGGGTGGGCATGATCTGGTTGCACCAGCAATTAGTGGGTGCAATTAAGGGGTGTTAATTGGTGCTGTGTGCTGTCCCTGCAGGATCCTGAAGGCCCGAGCAGAGGAGTCAGGGGAGTACCTGTGTGTGTTCGTGTTCTCCGGCTCGCCCGTGGCCAACGCCACCATCGAGGTCAGAGGTACTGCTGGCACCCTCACTGTCCCCTTGTCCCCTCCCCTGGCACTCCCTGCCTCCCTCCCTCAGCAGCCCCACAACACAGCAAAGGCCTCCTCACCATGCCTGGGTTCATATCAGAAATAATAATTTGTTATCACAGACAAAAGCTCTGATTTCCAGGGAAGGGCTGGCACACATCCAGGGAAAGAGCTGAGAGATGGGAGCAGCCATGGGTTTGTGGGCACTGGGTCATGGGCACATCCTGGAGCCTGAAATTAGGAATAAAAGCTGCACAGTGGGCAAGGTTTGCCATGGGTGTGGCTGTAGGGAGCCACAGAGCAGTGCTGGTGTCAGGGAATTCCCACAGGGCTGCAGGAGGCTGAGGTTGGGAATTTGTGTGGAATTTGGCAGGCCCTGGGATCCAGCTGAGGATCCATCAGTCTGTGGGAAAGGGAATTCACCACCCTGAGGAGCTGGGCTGGGTGTTCAGGATACACAGCTGGAGAGGTTCCATTTTCCTCCTTTTCCTTTTCTTGGGGATTTTTTATCCCATCCTGCCCTTTTGCTCTAATTGCTGAATCTCCTGATGTTAATTAAAATGTAAAGCTCCTGCTGGCTCCTCTGGGCTGCTCTAGGTGACAAACCACTCCTGGAGAGGGGAAATGCAGCTTTGGGAGTGGAGCAAGAGCTCTGCCAGCTCTGATGGTCCCTGCAGGGCCCTGGGGATGTTTGCCACAGGGCTTGGCTGCTGCTCTGCCAGGCAGGGCCACCAGCAGAGCTTGGCAGGGAGCTCACTCTGGGGGAGGAAATGGCAATTCCTGTGATTGAATGCAAGGAGAACTGATCCTACTCACTTCCCACAGGTAATTTACACCTAAATACCCTCCTGGGAAACTGGGGACAGCAAATGGGGACTGCACTTGGAGCAGATGTGAGCACAGTGACACCACCTGGGTGCCCATCACACCTGTAACCTCATATTTACCTGCATGGCTCCTGTTGGTGCTGGAGCAATTACACTGAGAGTTAATTGTAATTATGCTGATTGTAATTAGGGTGCAGCTCTCACTGCTGATGCACAGGGGAAGGAGGCTGCTGAATGCCAAAGTGCTCGTGCTCCAAAAATAGGGATTTTCTGACAGCTTGTGAACAGCTTCCCCAGAGCCTGTGGCAGAGGCAGCCAGGGCATGCAGGGCCAGCTCCCCTCCTGTCCCTCCCTGTCCCTGGAGCAGCCTGGCATAATGGGAAGTGTCCCTGCACATGGCAGGGGTGGCACTGGATGGGCTTTGAGTCCCTTCACCCAAACCATTCTGGGATTTTTTCTCAAAAAAATCCTTAGGGCAGAGGTGTGAGAGCAGTTGGAAATCTAGGCAGTGTCTGGTGCCTTTCCTGGGAATTCATTCCAAGCTGGATTCCCTCAGCCAGCTCTTCTGGGGGGGCTTTGTTCCTGCTCAGCTCCCCAGAGCTCTGGGGGCAGCTCTGAGCTGCAAACCTGGGGCTGAGCAAATGCTGGGTGTAAGGAAATGCTGGATTTGGGGAATGCAGCAAATGCTGGGTTTAGGGAATCCAGCAACTGCTGTATTCATGGAAATGATGGATTTAGGGAATCCAGCAAATGCTGGGTTTAGGGAATGCAGCAAATGCTGGATTTAGGGAAATGCTGGGTTTAGGAATCCAGCAAATGCTGGGTGTAAGGAAACATTGGATTTAGGGCATCCAGCAAATGCTGGGTTTAGGGAATGCAGCAAACGCTGAGTGTAAGGAAATGCTGGATTTAGGGAATCTGGGAAATGCTGGATTTAGTGAAATGCTGGATTTAGGGAATCCAGCAAATGCTGGGTGTAGGGAAATGCTAGGTTTAGGAATCCAGCAAATGCTGGGTGTAAGGAAATGCTGGATTTCGGGAATGCAGCAAATGCTGGGTGTAGGGAAAGGGCCCCTTGGAGCAGGGATCTCATGTCTCCTTTTCCTTGGCACTGGAGCAGACTGGGGGTGATTTTGGTGGGGTGGTTTTGCTGGAGCTGCCAGGCCAGGCCAGGGCACCCCTCCTGCCCCTTGGAAGGGGATCCTTGATTGCTGCATTTCCACCTGGAGCATCCCTGCAGTGCTGGTGGGGAGCTCTGGAGGCCTGAGCATGAAAAGAAACACAAATTGTGAACTGCAGCCCTGGAGAGCTCTGCAGTGCCCCTGCTCCTCCAGGGTCCTGGCAGAAGGGGAGAGGAAACAGCTGCTGGAAGGACCTTTTGAATTCCCCTTCCTGCCAGGCCTTTCTGCCCCTGCCTCATCAAGGGATTGCTCCTGCTCCCTTTGCACCTTCCTGGGGAAGAGCCTGGGCCTCAGTTCCTGGCTGTCTCAGCAAACCTCTGCTGCAGCCTGGCTCCTCTCTACCAGGAATAAATTAAACTGGACACTCTGTGAGCCCACAAAAATCCCCTCACATTCCCCCTTCTCCTGGTGCCTTCAAGCTCCAGAGGGAGACAGGGGTTGGAGTCATAACCAGAAAAAGAAACTTCCCAGAGTCCTGTTCAGGTCACCCCTCAGTGCAGGAATATTTTTAGGTGCTTTGCCCTTGCTTTAATTTTGTCTATTAATGAGAAACTTGAAGGTAACTGGGCCATGCTTTGCAGGTGTCACACATTTAAATTTCCCTCTCCTTTTCAGTGGTAAAGAGCTTGGAAGGGCTGAATGCCTCCTGTACATGAGGAGATGAATTTTCCTGGCTGTGTGACCCCCAAACCCTTGGGAAAGCTGCTGCACACTGAGTTCTGTGCTGTTGGGAGCCCCATGGTCACTCTGCCACAAACCCCTTTCCCCCTGTGTTTAGGTTTAAAACTATCAAAACTATGCTGGATAGAATTCCTCTCATGTCAAGCATGCCTGAATGTCTATTTATTCTCCCTTTTTTTGGTAGCAGTTAATTTAAATTAACTCTCCTTCCTTTTGCTCTTTATGAGGTGTTTCCAGCCCACCTTGAGGATTTTTCCTGCTTCACACACAGGAATCCAAACCTCCCTTTGCCAGGGGCATTCTGCTGGTGCCAATGATCAGCAGTGACAGAGCAGAGGGAGCTGAAATCCAAATCCTTCCCACCTAAACCTGCCTCACCCTGATGCCCTGAGGAGCTGGAGCAGAGGCTGGATGGAGTTAAGGGGAATAAAGTGGAGATTTACTGAAGTGCTCTCAAAGGGCACACCCTGGCAGTGCCCAGATGGCTCCAAGATAGAAGCAAAACAGGGCTTGGTCATGAGATCTCACATTTTTATAAGTTTTAGTCCATTTGCATGTAGGAGTTAACTGTCCAATTAACAGCTTCAAATGGTGAAGTTTCATCCTCCTTGCTTGCTTGCCTGCTCTCCTCTTCTCACATTGTTTAAGCTTTGGGCCTGAAGTTTGAAGAGATTGTCCTTGAGTCTCCAGCTAGAACAGGATTGCTTTGTCTCCACTGTGAAAGATCCCAGGAACACTTAATATAAAGCTAAAGCTGCACACCAACACAGAACAGAAAAAATAAACCTAAGGAATCAACCCTGGGCTTTGGCTGGCACAGAGCAGGATGGTGCAAGGAGCAGTCCTGGCTTCCAAAGCTTCCCAGGGAAGCCCTGCTAAAGCTGGGGCTGCAGGGATGTGGGGCCAGCAGGGCACTGCTTCCTGCACTGTTTGGGACAGAAAGTGCTGGGTTAGTGTCTGCTGGTGGCACTGAAACCCCAGCAGTGCACAGAGCCCCTGGGTGCTCCAGGAATAGCCCTGGCCCAGCAGAGCCAGGGAGGAGCTGAGGTATTCTGGGCACTGCTGCTCTGCTGGGATCTCCCTGGGAGCTGGCCTCTCCTTCTGCAATGTCATTGTGTCACCCTGCAGCAGGAGTGGAGGTGTCCCAGAAAGTGTTCCCTGTCCTTTCCTGTCCCTTCCCTCCCTGCCAGCAGCCTGACACAAACTGGGCCAGCTGGGAGTGCTGTCCCTGTCCCCTTTTCCAGCTCAGCCCTGCTCAGAGGGGCACTGGAAGCCAGCAGCCTCGAGCTGCTGAGTGCCACTGCTGCTCTCCCTCATGGGAATGTTCCCAGCTTGCAGCCCTGGTGGCATTCCAGCAGTGCCAGCTCTGGGATCCTGTCCTTGTCACCGCTGGGATGGAGGAGATCCCTCCTTGGCCTCCTCCAGGAAGCAAAAGCCACAGGGGGCTCACCCAGCTGCTGCTTTAAGAAGGTCCCAGGCCAGCAGGGAAGTGGTGGCACCTCTCAGTATGTCCCCAGGTGACAGTCCCCTCTGGAGGCCTCATTATTTGGGATAAATGCCATATTCCAGGCTGGGGACAGGGCCTGGGTCCTGCAGCAGCACAGCACTGCCAGCCCCAGGGCTGAGTGATTTCCTGCCTGGGGACATGAATTCAGCTCAGCAAATCCATCTGCTCCAGGTGTTCTGCCCCTGGCAGACACAGGGATCACCTGGCAGGTGGGGAATGCTCCTCTCAGCTTCGTTCACCTTCTGTAGCTCCTTTCTGTGCAAGGCCAGGGCGTTGTTTGGATCTGGTGCCTTTGTGCAGATCAGGGTTTATGTCTCTCAGTGTATTTTTATGTCTGATATGGAAAGATGCATTTTGGGTGATGATGTTCTCAGGGGTCCCAGGACGAGGGGAGAGATGAGAATCTTGACTCCATGTTTCAGAAAGCTGATTTATTATTTTATTATATATATTATAGTAAAAGAAAATGATATATTAAAACTCTACTGGAAGAATAGAAAAAAGGATTTCATCAGAAAGCGAGCGAGGAAAAGGAATGATGATAAAATCTTGTGACTGACCAGAGAGTCCGAGCCAGCTGGCTGTGATTGGCCATTAATTAGAAACAACCACATAAGACCAATCACAGATGCACCTGGTGCATTCCACAGCAGCAGATAATCATTGTTTACATTTTGTTCCTGAGGCCTCTCAGCTTCTCAGGAGGAAAAATCCTGAGGAAAGGATTTTTCATAAAGGATGTCTGTGCCACATTTTGAGTGTCAGTTTTCTTAAATAAACCCCTTGGGTTTGTTCATTGCCTGTTCTTACCTATCATGGTGTAGTGCTTTTGGCATCATCTTGGAATTAAGGAGCTGGCATCTGGCTGGGTTTCATCCTTTGGTCAGGACTCCTGTAAGGCCCAGGAAGTGCTGGGCTGGAAATGCTGGGCTGGAAATGCTGCTGGAATTCCCATGGGCACTTGGAGGATGCCTGGGGTCTCTCCTGTGTGCCTGCCCAGGTGAACACACACCAGCAGGAGCTGAAGCCCAGGCTTTCCTACAGCCCTGGGTTTGCTGTGCTTCACAATCTCATTTGGATAATGCTGCTACACTCCAGAAAGGATCTGAGGCACGGGATGCTCCCTGCACCCAAACCCCTTTGACACAGCACAGCATCAGGAATCAGAACAGCTTGCCAGGCATTTTCCCAAAGATTGCTGCTGCAATTTTGGGGAGAGCAGGCTCAGCTGCTGTCTGCTGGCACAAGAGCTTTTGTTCCCTTTGAGAAATTCTCCTCATGATCTCAGCCTGCAGCTGGAATTGCTGGCTCTGTGTGCACCTGCAGGGAATGTACTGGTGGAGCAGGGGAGTCTCCTGGAGGAAATTCCAGTTTCCTGGAGCAGCCAGGCTGGCCTGGGCTGGATTAACAGCTCAGAGCTGCCATCACACATCCAGCCACGTGTGCTGTAATTAGGAGCTGCAGCTTTAAAGGTGGGCCCTGCAGCCTGGGGCCATCTGCTGGGCCAGGGGTCAGCCCAGGCACTGCCCTGAGCCAGCCTAAGCTCGGGGGGGCTTAGGGCTGCTCCGAGGGACACACAGGGGTTAGAGCTGCTCCCAGGGACACACAGGGGTTGGGGCTGTGCTGAGGGACACGCACAGAGCACAGGGTTAGGGCTGAAGGACACACACAGAGCACAGGGATTAGGGCTGGGGGACACACAGAGCACAGGGGTTAGGGCTGCTCCCAGGGACACACACACACACACACACACACACACACACACACAGGGCACAGGGGTTAGGGCCACTCCCAGAGACGCACCCACACAGAGTTCATCCCTAACATCCCCTCGGGGTGGCAAAGCCCAGCTTCCAGGGAGCAGGAGGGATTTGTGTGCAGATGAGTGAAAGAAGCCTGTTGGTACTTACAAGCTGCTCTGTTGTCCCCTAGCTGTTCCTGACATCACTGGGCACAAGAGGAGTGAGAACAAAAACGAGGGCCAGGAGGCCCTGATGTACTGCAAGTCCGTGGGCTTCCCCCACCCCGAGTGGGTGTGGCGCAAGAAGGTCAATGGGGTGTTTGAGGTAAGGAATAGGGTCAGGAACCCTGCTCAGACCCTCTGAGAGGCGGGAGAGCAGCACCCTGGGGTTGGGGATGGGCTGTTAAAGGAACTTTGTGACTGCTCAACATCCAGTCCCTCCAAAGTGTGAGTGAAGGTGGGTATTTTTGGCAGCAGTGAGGATGGATGGGTGAATATAAAATTGATTTTTTATATATCAAGATCAATATAAATATATAAAACATAAATATATTAGAATATATATTATATATAGAACATATGAAATAATATTATACATACTATATTAAACATTATTTAATATATTATATAATTATTACTAATTAAATATATTAAATAATATATTAAATATATTAGGATGTTGTGTATATATATAAATAAAAAATTACAGTTTTATTGTTGGTATGTGAAAAAAACTGCACACTGCACTGCTGGGCAAAGTTAAGAACTTAGCCTGAAACCATTTTCTGGAACTTGCTGCAAACTGCAAGATCTGACTTAGGAAACAATTTTAAAACCACATTGGGTTATAAATTTCTCCAGGTTTTACTGGTTGAGCTCACAAGACTTAATATGAGGAGGTGGCAGTGATCCCTGTTAGAGCTTGGGTGATCTGTTTGTTCCATGTAGCCAGTGATGTAGTTAGTGAGCAGGAAAATGTGACCAGCAGTGGGAATAGCAAAAAGGAGCTGGGAATTTGCAACCCCTCCAGCCCAGCTGTTTCCTGTTGCTGTATGGATTGGATGGATGGAGCCAAAATGTGAAGCAAATAGCAGGATGGGATGAGTGTTCCCTGCTGAGTGTGAGCTGGAGGTTTTGAGGAGTGACTCAGTGCTGGCAGTGATCAGAGCCCTGAGTGCAGGGTTCTCTTTGTGGTGTTTTGAGAGACAAACACCAGGCCTGGGCTCCTCCCTCAAATCTCCCGTTCCTGTGCCACAAAGGCCTTAAAGCTGTTGCCATTTCCCACCCCTGTCCCTCTGCCAGGACATCAACAACTCCTCGGGCAGGTTCTTCATTTCCAACAAAGAGAACTACACCGAGCTGAGCATCACAAACCTTCAGATCAACGAGGACCCCGGCGAGTACCAGTGCAACGCCACCAACCAGGTGGGCTCCGTGTCGGTCACCACCATCCTGCGCGTGCGCAGCCACCTGGCCCCGCTGTGGCCCTTTCTAGGCATCCTGGCAGAGATCGTCATCCTGGTGGTCATCATCGTCATCTACGAGAAGCGGAAGCGGCCGGACGAAGTTCCCGACGGTAAGTGCGCCCCGCGCCGCCGCTGAGCCGCCCGGCCCCGCTGCTGCTGCTGCTGCTGCTGCTGGAGGACTGCAGGAAGGACCAGCAGCACAGCCCGCCCCGCTCCACGCTCCTGCCTTTCTCCTCTCCTCCCTCTCCGGACATGAAGCCCACAGGGTGCAAAGCCCAGGGCTGGATCTCAGGGGTCTCAGGGGGGTTGTGGATGTCTTTAAAGCTTTGTCGCATCTCTCTGTGTGTGCGCCCCGAGGAGCAGCACAGGGCAGAGCTGGCAGCACCCTCACCCTGGTGGCTTTCCCTCCTCCCCGTGGATGGACACTGGTCAGGGGCTGTCAGGGGACATTACACTCAAACCAAGGAATCATTGCACTTCAAGGGATTGGGGCTGCAAAGGTGCTTCAGAACTAAAATGTGTGCAGGGTTCAGAGAGGGGGGGAGGGCTCTTACTCTGCTGTGTAGCTGAATCTGTAGTTAAGGAATGCTCTGGAACCTGTATTTATTGTAGCCACTGATTAGATTTTGTAAAAATAGGGCTTATTATCAGGTTTGATGGTAGCAATAATTAATTAATTCATCTGTCTTTGGTACATACAACTAGTAGTAACTTTTATCTATGAGCTCCTGCACACCTTCCCCTGTGCACAGCTGGGGAAAGGGGCAGTGTGAGGCTGAATATTTGCCAGACCCATGCTGAGAAACAGCCATTAATGTGCTGCTAGCAGCTTACTCCCGTTTGTAGCAAGAAAACCTCTGCGAGGACTCCTTGGGAGAAGCAGCAGGAATGTCGTGGTGCTGCAGGAACACGATGGAACAGCCATGGGGCAGGTGGAGGGCAGGGTGCTGGAGTGATCCTCAGCACCATGCTGGGCTGGCCAAGCCCTTTCAGTGAGAGCTGTTCCCCAGGGCAGCTGGGTGTGGCTGTGGGGCTGCAGGGGCATGAAAATAGAGGTGTGGGACAGTGATGTGTGTGTGGGGTGGGCACAGCCACCCTCACGGCCTCCCACGGGATCCACAGCGAGGAGAGGAGCTCGTGGAACACAGCAAATGGAATAACGGGAGCAGGGCCGAGGCTTGGATCAGAACTGGCTGAGGTAGTGCATCCCCAGAGGAAACCAGCTTTGGTTGTAAGCCTTGAGTAGCACTTACTAACTGCTTACAGAGCATGTGTGGGGGCTGCTCTCAGGGTGGAGCTCCCAGTTGGACCATAGTGCATGTTCTGTGCATCACTAACAGCTTCCAGTGGCTCCAGGGCTTGTCCTGCCCTCAGCGTGGTCTCAGGGACCTCCACCAGCCCGGAAAACTTGGAACAGACAATTTTCATTTTCCTCCTCCCCCATGTCAGTGATTATAGTTCCCCCTGTTCAGAATTTTCATTGGATGAAGTTTTACAAGGACCAAAACAAGGTCCTGGGAATTTGATGCACAAATATTCCCTGCCAACAGCCCCAAATGGACGGAATCCAACAGGAATTGGCTGTGGTGTGAGCAGATCACACTGGAGCTCACACTGGAAGTGAAGAGTTCCCTGCCTCTTTCCAAGGCTGGAGTTTTCCTGGCTGGTGTGGCCACTCCCCAGGTACCCAAGGGATGCAGGCTCATCATCCCCCTGGAGCTGCCCAGGATGATGAGCCAAGGAGCTGAGGTCACTCCAGTGCTCACTGGGGCTGCTGTTGTGAAGGCAGAGCCCTGGGGAGTGACGACACACCTCCATAGGGGTCAGGTGTTCTCCCTGTCCCCTTTCCTGGAGGAGAAATCCGTGCTGAGTGTGACAGTCCGTAGCTGGGGATGAGGTTTGCCTGGCTGATGGACACAGCTGGCACCATGCCACCCTGAGTCCCACATTCCTTGGATAGTTGTGCATTTTCCATCCTGGCACCGAAGCTTTCTGTGCTGCCGCCCGTGGGGAACGCCCCAGGGGCAGGGCACGTACAAATGCACACGTGGGAAATCATCAGGAGCCTCCTGATTGCCACGTGGGGATGTTTGACTGGGGTTATCCTGAATTCTCTTACCTTCAAGACATGGTTACGAAATGCCAAAGTTAATGCTGGAATGCAGCGACGCGCTCGGAGTTTGGGATTTCAGCTCCCCCTTCCAAAATCCCACCTCCGCCTCTGCTGCTGCAGGGAGAGCTGTGGCTGAGCCAGCAGCTGAGGCCAAACACACAGCACTCCTGTTCCACAGCAGCTGGCACAGCCAGGAGCTCTGCTGGCTTTTCCAGCCCTGGTATCAGTGGGAATTGCTCACCTTTAGGGATGTGCTCATGGCAGAGCTCCACGTGAGGTGGTGCTGCCCTTCCTGCTGGGATGGCAATATTCTCCTTGGACCTCTCCAAATTTAGACACTGGGATTGCTTCATCATCAGCACCATCCCAGGGTGGAATAACTCTGGAACGCCTTTCTGGAGTCCCCAGGTGTGTGTCAGCCTGTGTCCCACAGCAGGTGTGAGGGTGGCTGGCCCCCCTGGATCTGTTGCACGTCCTGCTGGGGGATGGCTCTGGCTGCAGATCCTGTAAAGATCCCGAGGGCTGGGTGCAGGTGTTGGGTCTGTGGTGTCCCCACTCTGCAGGTGCCACACATCCACCTCAGGGTGTCTGCCACTGTCCCTCAGGAGTGCTCTGATGGCCTGGCCACCATCTGGCCTGCTGAGAGGAGTGCACAGAGAGCTGAAGTGTGGCTTACTCAGACCACTCCTAAGGATTGTTTTTAAAATTTGGAGAAAACCAGTGCTGCTAAACGTGGCCACTTCCTGTGGAAAATCCACTTCCTCAGGAAAACCAAAGGCTTTTGGAGCAGAAGGAGCTGTTAATGAGCTGCTGGAGCACACCTTGGCTCCTGACTGGGGCAGTGCAGGATGAGCTGCTGGTTTTGCATTCTGCTGGGAGCTGCAGGTGTCCACGATGAGCTCTCACCTCATGCTGTGCCCAGGTGATACTTTAGGGCTGGCTCAGTTAAACCTGCACAAATGACAATGTTTGGGGTGTGCTGGGTCAGCTCCTCAGGTGAGACCAGCCTGGTGCTGGGCACAAGTGCCCAGTTAGTCCTGAGGGGCATGACTGGTGGGACAGAAGCGTTCTCTGGGTGAGATCCCTCAGGCCTCTGGAACTTTTTCCCCAGCACTTGGAAATTCTGCCTGGCCAGCCCAAAGAAACAATTGAATGTTTCCCTTTCCCTCAGATCTCCATGTTCTACAGGCTTCCAATGCCCTGGCTCAGCGTGCCCATGGGAGGCTGGGGAGGGTGATGGGCTCCTGGGTACACTTGGAGCAGTTTTGTGTAAAGATGTTCCCTCTGTTGGAGGCGCTGCCATGCTGGAAGAGCAGGGACACTCCTTTAACTTTGGCATTTCCTGACTGCAGGCCTCGGTTTTGCATGGACCTGGCTTTGTGTGTCTGTGAGCTGCTTGGTGTGCCTCGGGCCAGGGCTGCTCAGGAGCTCCTTGGCTGATGTTTCCTCCTTCTCAGGACTCTGATTTGGGACTTGATTCTTTGTCCTGCTGCTGGAGAGCAGGAAAAGGAATATAGCACCCATGAAATCCCTGTTCCCACCAAAGCAGTGGCATCAGGGGGTGCCTGGAGCAGGGTTTGCTGTGGATGTTCTCCCAGCACACCCAAATCTCGTGCTGGAAGGAGGAAGGGAGGGCAGATGGCGCTTGAATTCCTGCATCCTCTCAGATTGAATTCCTGCATCCTCTCAGAACGTCAGTTCTGACCTGCCTTACACACCTGGCAAGGCAGCGTCCAGCTCGCTCCCCGTTCCCAGAGAGCAGCCAGAAGGGGCTGGCACAGCCAGAGGGGACTGGCCACAGGCAGCTTCCGTGGCTTTGGGGGTCAGGGCTGCATGAGCTGGCATGCCCTGGCACGTGGCTGCATGCCCAGGGGAGGAGGTGCCAGCAGGGAATGCCAGGGTGCTGCCCTGGGCAGGGAGAGAGGAGAATGGCTTTGTCTCTGTAGTACAGCCTGAGCTGCTTGGTTTCCATAGCTCAGCCAGCACCAGCTGAGGTAGCCTAGCAGAGGTTCCTAAAGGAGGGGTTTTCTGCTGTTGTTGCATCCAGTAGTCTAAAATCAGCACAGCCCCTGGCTTAAAGGGTGTTTCTGGGGTAAGTAGAAGGTAAAACCCCTTGGCTCCATTCCCCACAGGAATGGGAGTGTTTTGTACTTGGAAATCCATAGCCCTGGGTGACTGGGTTGTAACACGTCCCTTTTCCTTCTTCCCCTCTCATTCCTCAGCCTAATCCAAAGACTTCCCCTAAATGTGTTTCCTCTCCTGGCTCTGCAGAAGCTCCATCCCAATCCCCACATTCTTTCTAACCCTCTTTTGCTTTTTTCTTGACTTTCCCTGTTCCTGCTATTACTGTAAGTAATTGAAAGAAACAAACTGTTCTAACTGCAACCATTTACCTTTTGTAACCAGTGATTTTGGTGGGGCTTTTTTTCCCCTTTTATGCACATCTTTCTCTCCTACACTTTAAATTTATCATGGTGAGGCAGGTACAGAGTGAGGCCATATCCATCAGCTGTTCCCAGCAGCATTGCTCTATCCCAGTGGACACAGGACCCTGAGCTGTCAAAGGCTCTGGCTGCTCCTTCAGAGCTTTGAGCTGCCCCTGGATCCCTGGGCCAGGTTGGACACTGGGGCTTGGAGCATCCTGGGACAGTGGAAGGTGTCCCTGCCCATGGCAGGGGTGGCACTGGATGGGCTTTAAGGTCCCTTCCAACCAAACCAGACTGGGATTGATTCTTTCCAGGTTTTAAAGCATGAGCTGAGATGTAGAATCCCTTCAGAAGCAAAAATTGGAATCTTAGTGCTGGAAGAACCCGCTAGTGTTTCATTTTTAACTTCTCCAGTCACAAGATGCTACCCAGGATTAATTTGATACTAAAAATAAACCCTGTAGCTTTCCAAAGGCGGTGAAAGAAGCTGAGTGACATACAAAATGCCTGTAAATTAAGGCTGAAAATGGGAGGGGGGGCACAAAACACATTCCCATCCAAGTGGAGGAGCTAAGGGAGATCTACTTGTCATCATCTTCCAGTTTTAATTCCCAGCTATTTCTGCCTGCAGGGATTGATTACCTGTGTTAAGCCAAGCAGCACATCTCCCATTTTGGCTCAGAATGTGCAGTTTTGGGAGCCCATGAAGCAGGTCACTCCGTGCCTGAGGAAAGGCCTGCCTGTGGGGTTATTGCTGTGCTCTGAGCAGGGGGGTTCTGGAGATCCCAGTGCCAGGGCAGGTGCTGCAGGAGGGGCTCAGTGGCTGCTCCCAGTGCTGGGGGACCTTTCTGTGCCATAGGTGCTGCTGACTGTCCTAGAGCAGGGCTGTGGCATTAAAGCTTTGGGTGATATTGATCTTGTCGGTTACTATGACTTCTTTTTTTTTTTTCCCCCCTTCAATTGCATCATACCCTTAAAAAATGGTGGTAAGTGAGAGCTCTGCATGCTTTGGAGTTTGTTTAACCTCCGCTTCAGTCTATACAACGCACAAGTCATGACGTTAACACTCTTGAAAACTTCCTCATTCACGTTCACAACTAATTTGGATTTCAGTTTGCTGTTTTGAACCTTTTCTTTAGTCTGATTTTGTACTGGTTTTTCTGTTGTTCTGTTGCCCCTGGTTTCGCTGAGGGTTCGGTCTATGTCTGTACTGTACTGGGGATGCTTTGCCAGCACTTAGCAGCTGACTGGGAATTTCCCTTGGTCTTTTTATCTGTGGTTTAGCTTAGAGATGGGACAGGGAGGAGTTGTGGGGATCCACCAGAGTATTCCCAGTAGGCTTTTTTGTGGGATCTTTGTGAGGAATCACCGATTGCAGCCTTTATCAATTTGAAGCTGCTTTTTAAATTTTTTTTTTTTTTTTTTATTTTTTTGACAACACAAACTTGCTTATCTGAAGCGGGCATTTAAATCTTTGAGCAGAGAAGGGATAAAGGTTATTTTGTAGCGAGTGTCCACGGTGCAGTTTGCTATTGCTGAAGTCCAGCCAAACAAACTCCCAAAGCAGTGGATGGTGCTTGTTGGAGCCGAGTTGGCAGCGCTGGCCTCGGGGCCAGGGCTCGCTGTCCCACCTGGAGCTGGGCTGCTCTCGGATCCTTGGTTCCCAGAGATGTTTGTGGAAGGAAGCCATAGATTCCTCTGCTGTGCTTTGTGTTCGAGTACCTGATGTGTCTCTGTATATCTCACTGTATATACAACAGCACATTGATGTCTGGCTGTCCTTCCTAGTCCCAGTTCTCTGTACTGTGTCCGACAGTTACTGTTGCTGGTACTGGAATTCTGTGGACACCGGTGTGTCGCTAGTCTGTTACTTTGGCTGTAAAGCTCTTGGTTTGTGGTTAGTTCTTTATTTTTGAAGTATTTTCTGTTCTGGTCACTGTCTGTGCTAGCGGTGGCTTTGCCTCTCCGTTGCCTCGAGGGCCCAGGTGGAGTAATGTCCCCTCTCCCTGACATTACTCCTGGCGTGTGCTCATGCGGATGCCTACACTGTAAGACTGTAATTTCCATAACTGCTTCATGTGCACTAAGCACCCTTGTGGAATCCTGCTGAGAGTTTCTCAAAGACTTCCCTGAAAAATCCCTCCGGCACGAGGTGGGAACGGCAACTGTCAAGTGCCAAAACCAGCAGGGCCTGAATTGGTCCCCCAAAATCCATCTGTGGGAGCATTAGGCTCCTGAATTGACTCTTGTACTGTTGTGTAAATGCATTTTTGTCTTCTGTACTACAGCGTGGGTGAAAATGGCGTTTGAGAATTCCAAAACAAAGCCCAATTGGTCGTGAGAGTTGATATGAAACATTCCTCATTGGCAGATTCCCTGCCCCCTGCCAGTTCCTAAATGAGTTTTGCCAAGGGCCATGGGCAGGACATGCTGTCAGTCCTCTGCAGCTGAAGTGTGTCCAGAGGTGTCCCAGCGCCCTGACTCCTCCTGGTGACACTGGATGCTGCTGCCCAAGGACCATGGTTGGGGCTGGAATCGAGTGTTCCCCTTCAGCCTCCTCCTAACCTGGTCCCTTCTAATTAAACCTTGAGAAAAATGGGGAATGTAGAGGTTGTTTCATCCGTGGGGGAAAATGAATGCGGTGTATGTACCCTCTGGGGTATGTACCAGGAGTTACCCATCAGCAGTGGAAAAACAGCTTAAAAATTAAAATGCATATTAAAAAAAAGTCAATGCAAGCAAACATCCAGCAGGATTTTACAACTGAACCGTTGGTTTGTCTCCTCATCTATTTTTTATGAGATTGAACCACTGGAACTTGGGGACAAGATGAGTCTTGATCATGTTGCACCAATCTGTCCGCTACAGTTGCAGTCCTTCATGACCAGCATTCCAAGTGTTAACTAAACCCATTGAAGCAACATACCTGCCATTAAACCCGAATCCAGAGCAGTAACTCCATGATCCTTGCACTCCCGACTGGAATGGCCTTTGATGCTGTAGATAGATCACTTTGCTGCTCGTTGTGGCCCCCTACAAACACTGACTCTCTTTTTCTTTCCTTCCCTTGTCTCTCCCTGGTGCCTCGGGATGCTTGCTGCAGATGATGAACCAGCTGGGCCAATGTAAGTGTGTTTTTGGGAAAACAATCCTCTTTGGGATAATCTGGGGGGTTGTGGGAGGTGATAAATCATAGGATTGATATTGCATGTGACATTACAGATGGTGTTGGGCCGTCTGGTGCGTTTCTTAGCACCAGAGGAAAGAAAAGCAACATCTTGCTAGAAAACAAATATTGGGCTAAAATATAAAGGCTAAAACTGTGTTGAAGGGAGGAAGACTGAAACGCTGCCTAATGAAGTACAAATAACATCCATTTTTCCTGTACCTGCAACTGATTTTTGATGCATTTCTCTCCCATCCCTTTCTGCAGGAAAACCAATTCTACAAACAATCACAAAGACAAAAACTTACGTCAGAGAAACACAAATTAAAAATGCTCATCATGTAAGTATTGCCTGCGCCCGGCCGGGAGCGGGCAGGCCCAGCCCTCCTGCCCTCAGTGCTGGGGGGCAGCAGCAAAGCGTTCCCTGCATTAAACATTCCTGCTGCACCTCAGGGACCACGGGTGGGCACCAAGCATTGATTTCCTCAGACAGGCGGGGGGTGTAAGGCCCTGCTTGCTAAAATGTGGGCAAAGCTGCAGAGCCCTCCTGATTGATTTCCCTAAAAGGTGGAGCTGGGGCTGTCGGGAGCCCCGGTGGGAGCGCGGGGGTTGCAGGCTGCGGCGGCTCGCGCTGTTCACCATTGACTAGCACCTCTTTCTCGTTTCTTTTTTAGAGCTTTAAGTTTCTGAGAGACTGATGGCAATATGACCTGCTAAATTTAAGGGTTGGAACTCTTGGTTCTAGAACTCCAGTTCTGTCTGATTTCTTTTTTTTTTCTTTCCTTTCCAAGTGAGCAACAATATGACTGTCTAACGCATGCCTTATTTAGCCTCTCCTGCAAGGATGACCTAGCCAGATGAATTTTAATAATGCTTCCGTGTAGAAGGTGTAAACTCTTTTGGGCTTGATGTGCTGTGAATGTTGCTTTTTTTTCCTCCTTTCCTCTCTTTACACGAGCAGTAGCCAGGCGGGTTCACGCATGCGCTGTTTTTTACTTCCTGTAGCTGTTAAATTCGGCACCGCTCAAACCGCACCGCTGCCATCTAGTGAGACTTCTTTTGTAAAGTACAGCAAAACTTAAAGATATATACAGTATATATTTATATTTGGGGGAGGGGAAACCAGAAGTCGTTGTGGTTCATTTTGAAGCTGCTGATATTCATTCCTTACTGTATGGCTGGAAGGAGGGAGTGATGCCGGGCCGGTGCTCACAGCAGGGACATTGGAATTTCCTTAAGGGCTTTAACCATGGAGCGCGGGGTGTCCTGTTGGGCGTCGGGGCTGGGTGGTGCCAGGGGCTGCTGGTGGTGGTGGGATGCAGTTGGAAACAAAAACAAACCTTCAGTTTATAAATATATATATATGATTGCTTTTTAAGTGATTTTTTTTTTTTGTTAACTCATGTAAATTCTCAAATCCTTTTGCACTGATGTGTTCGACATATTCTTGTACATTCAATTCAGGCAAACTTTTATAATTTTCTTTTTTTTTTTTTTGTTTTGTTTAAATGATGAAATGTTACAGCATGGTGATATTCTATGCAACTAGTTATTCCTCTTTAGTTTGACACTGTAATTTCTCATGATTTAAAGATTGTAGAAATAGACCTACCAGGGTTCTCATGATGTGCGTAACTGTAGCTGCATGAACTCGTGTTCTGTGTATTTGTTGAAGTGCAATGATGTATAAAAAGTGGATTCACCTGTTTTTAAAAATAAAACACCGACAAAAACCGCTGTAGGCATTGATTTGCAACCTTTAATCAGCAGAGCTGGGGTGCCAGGTGTGCCTCATTCCTTGGCCAGCCTGTGCAGCTCCTTCTCCACGTCCTCCACGAAGGCAGGGAAGTGCTGGTCCATGAGGCACAGGCGGATGAAGGTTCCCAGCTCGCGGGCGCTCCAGGCCGGCTGCCGCAGCACCGGGGGCAGCTCCGGCCGCTGCCGCAGCACCCACTGCCAATGGAAGGTGGGAAAGGGCCCTGAGTGGGACACAGGGACACAGCCACAGCCCAGCCCTGCTGGTGCTGCAGGAACAGGGAGCTGCCTGGGTTTGGTGCTCTTGGAGTGCCATCAGACAGCTTCTCTGCGTGTGAGCTTTTCTCTGATGCTCAGGTGTGATTCCAGTGTAGCTTTTACACTGCAACTATTTCAGCTGGAAATGGACCCTGGAAATGCCAATCTCCTGGGTACTGTGGCTGCCTGCTGGACTTCCATTCTGTAATCAGTGTACACTCTGTATAAGCTGTACCTGCTGCCACATGGATGTGTGGGGATAACCAAGCGTGCACTTGCAAGCTTTTCATTTAGCCAAATGTGTTTTAGAAGTAGTGTTTGGAGCTTTTATGTTAAAACTTCTTTTTTACCCGTGTTTAATCCCCTCTCCCAGCTTTTTCCCATGGTGGTGGGAGAACTCTGGGCATTGTGGCACTGGGGCTGGAATGAGGTGACCTCTGAGGTCCCTTCCAATCCATCCCACTCTGGGATTCTGTGCTCAGCCAGTGACTACGAAAGAAGGGTAAGGAACATACAGAGAAGGAACTGCACAAAACCAGAAAAGAGCAGAGTTTGCTGCTCACTTGCTTCTGCACTGGCCTGAATTCCAGTAAATGAGCAACAGCTGACTTCCAGGTATTTACCCAGGACTGCTCAGTGAAGCTGTCCATGGAATATGGGGATGCTTTGCTGTGGGTCGGGGTTGAGAAGGGTCCAGGGGAACCTCAGAGCCCCTGTCAGTGCCTAAAGGGGCTCCCAGAGAGCTGGAGAGGGACTGGGGACAGAGGAGAATGGGTTCCCACTGCCAGAGCAGGGTTAGATGGGATATTCTGTGATTCCTTGATTGATATTTGCAGGCTTCAGCTCTGATCTGCAGAGTCAAACCAGTGCCAGAGCCATTCATTTGGATGTTGCCTCTGGGTATTTCTTTGCTCTCAGTGTGTCATTTGTTCCTATTCAGATGGGGTGATTACACCTCCCAACACCTTGTTTTGCTGCTGATTCCCTGGCTCTGGATCATTACACAGACCCAGTGTTTTGCTGGTGTAGATGATGGCATCCCAATGCTCAGGGAAGGCATTTCCCAGATGGAATCTGAGACAGCTCATTCTCAGGCTCAGTTACAGACTCTAAACAGGAGATGTTTGTTTTTTACCTGTGCAAGCTGTGCTACAGATCTTCTTTCTCCAAGGCTTGTGCAGGAGTCTGGGAGAGGCTCATCTGGCTAGAAAATACCAAATGCAAATAAGGGCTTGTTACCAAGCAGAGTGTGGGTATGTGCAGGGGGGGAAGCAGTTCCATTTTTAGCACTGACGGGAAGGGAATGTGCTCAGCTACCTTCTGCAGTAAAATGACATCTTTTTATGGAACCTGCATGCACATCTGCTCCAGTCTTTAAAAATGAAAGACATGACAGTTTAACTACAGGCCTGTTAGCTCATGGCTAAACTGAAGTCACAAACAACTTCCTAGGAGGAACTTCAAAGAATGTTTTGGATGGATGCTCACAAGAGCACAATGCTGCTTTTCCATGGATCCAAATACCAAAGAGCAGAGATTTTGGAATAATCACCCTGTAAAATGCTGTTTGTCTCTGCCTTTTCCAGTTATCTCAGGACTTGGAGAGGGGAAACATTCTGTTCCTCCTGAGATGGCTTTTAGATGTGCCAGGTTAGGTTAAATTGTAAATAAGCAGTTGTAGCAGCTACTGCCACTGCAAAGCATGAGCACCCAGAAAAGAGCCAGGAGCCAGGGTTACTTGGTGGCTCTGATCAGTTTTTGCCCTGTCCAATTTCCCAACTCCCATTTGATGCAGCCAGTCTCAGAGCTGTGAGAAGCTCCTCACATGCAGCTCTGGCAGGCAGAGGTGAGTGCTTGTGGGTGTGTGTGCTCACTTCACTTACTGCGTGCTCGGTGTCCATGGCCTGGCTGTCCTGGCTGGGGCTCTGCTCCTCAGCCCCCTGCACGGGCAGGAACTGCCTGAGCTTGTGGACACAGCTGCTGCAGCGCTCCTGCACCTCCTCCCTGCAGCTGCCTCCGAACTGCACGCGGAACATGCGGCACTCGCTCTGCTCGGAACACAGGGAGAGCAAATCAGCCTGGAGCCCCCTCCAGCTGCTCAGAGTAAATCCATGCTTGTTGGAGTTGGGAAGAAGGCAATAGATTTGTGGATAACTGTGCCAATTTAAAAACAAATTGCTGTATTTTCAGTTTTTCCCAGCAGCTTAACCAGAAGACAGTGATTGCTGATTTGAAAACCAGGTAAAAATATGCAAGAAAAGGGTTAAGTGATGCAAGGCCACCTGTCACTAATTCAAGGTTTAGCCAAGTGGACAAGCATTGCCAGGACTCAGCTTTTACACATAGCAAGAAAATTAAGTTTTATTGTTGCTGCAGGTAGTGTCCTATAAGGGTGTGCCAGCTCTGCACTGTTATTTGTGACAAAAAATGACACAAGAGTAAGCAGAAATTAACTCTGGATCTGGACTAGAAATTCTGGGAATGCAAGTTCCAGTGAGGATTTATGTTTCTGATCTGCCTGCTCCTGTGTGGAGCTAAACCAACACATTCACTTTGGCTTTCACCTAACTGTTCCTTGAAAAGAGACCAAAATGTTGAAAGGAGTGCAGGAAATTCAATGCATTACTTCAAACAGTGAACTGCTACTAAAAATTATTGAAAACTCCCAGATAGCTCTGACCCCCAGAGTAGGTTGTTGGGCTGTACCATAATTGGTATTTTAAATAAGTGCCCCAGGTTCAGCAAAGTGCCCTGAAATGGGGATGGAGTCTCTGGTGTGTGATAAGCTTGGCCTGAGCACCTTGAGCTGACGTAAGGGAAGTGCATATTCAGTGTTTAGAGAGTGAATTAATGGAACTTTCTGTTTGATCTTGAAATTTCAATTTTAAAAAACCTGAAGTACTAGAAAAGCAGCAAATTCTCCTTGGCCCAGCCTGGCTTATTTAGGTCTCTATCTTCCTGAGGTTCCAGTGTCAGCCCCATTTTCAATGCCCATTTTAATCCCACACTGCTGGAACACGAGGACACCTCTCACTTTAAAGCTCCTGTCTCAGAGATGAGGCAGCTCTTGCTGACAGCCCCTGTGTTTACATGCCTGCTGCTTGAAGATGTTGGAATCCCATAAAAAGATTTTTAGGGCAGGGTACGCACAAAAGCCTGGCTCAGTGCTTTTCTAAAGGGAAAAATGTCAAATTAATGTGAAGTGTGGCACTCATTGCCAGTGCCCAGCTGGATCTGCCCTCATTAATTAAGGAACTGGGGCAGCCTCCCAGAGCCAGGCAATGCCAGGCAGGTGAGTTCTGATTTCACAAAAGGAACTTGGCTGGAGTTTCCTCAGGACACTTTCAAAGAGCACTTGCTTGTTTAGATCCCCAGATTAATTCTGGGGCTGGACTATTTGGACTCCCTTGGGTTTCTCACAAGGACTGGTAAATACTTTAGTTTGCACTTCATAAACAACAGTGGACTTTGAAAATTAAACATTGTTCCTTAGTGGAAAGAGAGCTGTGATATGTCAAGGTTTATAGCATAAACTGGGGACTGGGCAGTCACACCTGAACCACACAGAAGCTGAAGTATTAAACACCCCTGATGTCATGGAATCATTACATTTGTACCTCTTCCATTCTGGGCTGGGGGGATGAGCTCAAGGAAAACAATATGAAGGGAAATTATTTCTTGCAAAATTATTAAGAAGATTAATCTTGTGCTGGCTAAGAGCCACAGTGTCCTACTGAAGCCATATTTGAAGGGATGAGCAAGTTGCATTGTAAATGCAATATTAATGACTTACAAAAAACAAGGAGTACAAGATAAACCAGAAATTTATCATAAAGATGAGCCCAGAAGTTGCATCCACTGTTGGGATATAAACTAGAGAAGCTGTGTGGTAAAGCCACTGCAGTTGAAGTTGTGTGGATTATGGTAAGTAAACACTGAGATGCACCAAATTAATTTCAGGCTGTTAAAATTCCTCCTTTCCTGAGGTGCCCCTCCGAGCTTTGCTGGAGCCTGGCACTGAGTGTGATGTTGGTTTTGTCTTGGTGAGGAGCAGCAGAATCCCCTGATGCTGCACTGGGGGACTGGCTCTGGTAACTGGGAAGGAACAGCCTGCAGGTTCATCAGAACTAATTCCTGCCCCAGCTGCCTTCAGGTTTGCCAGGTTTTTAACAAGCTGATAGAAAGCAGAGTGCAGAGGTGTTTTGGTTTCAGACATAACCCATGAATTTAAAACATGAAGGTACTTACAGAGTATCAGAGTTCATCTAAGAACAAAAAACCCTGAGATTTTTACATGAATTGGTAAGAAGAAAGTGCTGTTTGATTACTTAAAGGCAAACCAACCACTTTCCATCAGGAGAGCTGAGTGGCTGACCAGAAACCCATGTCCATTTTGTTTCCTTGAGTACCAAACACCTTAACCACCATCTGCTGCTGTGCCAGGAGCCACAAAATGCCTGTTATTGCTTGGTTAGAGAGTTTGTTTGCTGAAGTGCAGTCTGACTCAGAGGAATCTTGGAAAAGATTTGCTTCATCTTTTTGTTAGCTATGGCAGATAGAGTGGGAAATCAAACCAGTCTGGCTGTTTTAGCAGCTAACTCTCAGAGAGCAGTCTAAAAACTGAATATTAGCAGTTATAAAAGATATCAATATTTAATCCATTCTTGTTTAGTATCTAGAGTAAAAAAAATATTCTAATTTACATAGGTAATTAACACCTTCTAGTTAATTTTGCTAAAAGGGAGAGATTTCCTCCATCTCTGTTACATTTTAGGGATGTTGGAAGCAGCTCAGCTCACCTTGGCCTGTGCCTGGAGCAGCAGGCACTCTGCTCTCCTCACTATCTTCAGCCACTTGTGGGAATCGATCAGGGAAAAGCCTTCCTGAAATAAAGCACAGAACAGTGACCCAGCAAACAGCAGCACCCAGGAGCACATGTTTAAGTTGTGTGTTGTAATTAAAGCCCTAATGAGGATCAGTCACTGCAGCTATGCAGTTTTGGAGCTGTCAAACAGCTGCACTGTGGAAGTTTCACCACTCCAGGGATCAAATCCAGTAACAACACTGTGGAAGTATGCTGTGATTTCCATCCCTCTGTACATTTACATTTGTGCATGCTGTGGAAGCCCCTGAAAGGCAGAATAAAGCAGCTGCGAGTGGCGCTGCGAGCGCTGAAGTTGTCCGGGAGGGCAGCAGAGGGCAGGCGAAGCCGGGGAATGGCGCAGCCCCGCTGGATCCCAGCCCCAGCGAGGCCCCGGCTCCAGGTGGCACTCAGGGAGCCCAGCAGCAGCTTCCTTAATTGGATAAAGATGTTTTTATACTCCACTTGCATCACTGTCAGTCTCTTCAGACTCGACAGGCTGCTCAGCTCCTGTAAAAATACTTCAGGAAGGTGAAAAACAACTGCAAAGCAACGGCCTGTGTCTCCCAAGGCACTCTGAGCCATTACTGAGCAAAGTCCAGGGGAAAACCCCAAACAATCAATCCGTGTTAAGCAGGAGGAAATCAGGCACCCGTTTTATCCAAACTCACAATACTTTCAGTGACCAAGGGCTTGAGCCCAGGCTGCTTTCAAGGGGTCCTAAGGGCCAAACCCCACAAGTCACATTCTGAAGGGCCAGTGGTGTTTGGCACAGTCACTGTCCATGTTAGGTGGGTCCAGGCTGCAAAACCATCTGCCATCCTATTGTGGAACAGGAATCACCTCAGGGACTGCTGCTCTCCTGTGCTGCCACTGGCTCTACAGTCTCATGCACCAACTGCATGGGGATTTTTAGCTGCACTTCCCAGAGGAATCTCAAAAAACTGTAAAGAGTTGAAGCAAAGGCAGACTGGATGGCAGACAGCTGCTGTGACAGACTCCAGCATGTCAGCCAGCAGGGAATGCCATTCCCCAAAGAGCTGGGCTCAGAGGGAGAGAGGAACTGCCCTGAGGGCTGCAAAAGCAGGTGCTGACAGCAGGTAAGAGGGCCAGTCTCTTGTGGTGTCTCTGCACTGAACACACTCACAGTGCCCTAAGGCAGGAAAGGCCTAAAGGTCAGAGCAACAGGGAGAGATCACCTGGTGAGCAATGGGGAGAGGTGAACCAAGCCCCAAATGCTGTCAGTGAAGCAATTCCAAACCATTCCCTCCCTAGGCCACTTTAACTTGTGGCCACTTGTGCTTCTGTTCATTCCAAGTAGTTTCTGTTTTGGAGACACACCAACTGTGTATTTAAACATAGCTATTCCCATATTCAGTCTGGTTTTACAGTGTTTTCCCTTTCACTGGAGATGAAGGTTGAACAAATGTTGTCTCCTTAAAATAATAACTGTTTTCAAATAAATTATAGAAGGTACTCACTGTTTAATTTTCCTACTAACTATTTTATTGATGTTTCCCACGTTCTTTTATGTGTCCTGAGGTAAAACAAGTGGGAAAAAGCAGCATTTGGAATTTTTATTTACGTACTCCTGATTACCCAACTCCATCCCCCAAATTTGATTTAGATGAAATATAAATTTAACCATTTTCTTTTTAAAATCATTGTCCCTGTATTCACAGAATCACAGCCTGGTTTGGTTTGAGAGGTACCTCAAAGCCCATCCAGTGCCACCCCCTGCCATGGGCAGGGACACCTTCCACCATCCCAGGGGGCTCCAAGCCTGGCCTGGGGCACTCCAGGCAGTGCATGTGGAGTCAGGTGAATGAATCAGAGCCACAAAAGGGAAGAACACTAGAAATGTGTCCCTTGCCTGATCGAAGGCAGGAGGATCTGTGCTGGGGCAGGGCCTGGGAGCTGCAAGGCAGGAATTTGGGATTACACGGGTGATGGACTGACCCTGGACACGCTCTGGGGGGGCGATGGCACAGAGAAAAGCAGCGTTCCTTCTGCACTGGTGCTGCCACCAGGCTGCAGAGCAGGGAAGCAGCGGCCGGTGCTGTTCCCTTGAGCCAGCCAGGTAGGGCAAAGGCAGAGGGCAGTGTGAGATTAATCAGAATATCCCCAAAACGCAGCCTGGAACGGGACAGGGACACGAGGGCCCAAATGTTCACCATGTGAAGACAGAAACAGCAGCACTTTATTGAGTTTGGTCATCATTGTTCAGTCAGGCACATACCCCTGTAGTTCTCCATGACTGAATTGTAACAAAAGTGGGGCAAAGGAAAATTCTTCCCTACATCTGTGACCAAAATCTAAGTTTCTCAGAGGGAGGACTGAGTGGAATTAAGCTGAAGGGGAAAACAAAGCAAGATGTTTCCCAAATGTTTTGGAAGACGTGACCACAGCTGCCACGAGGCAGGAGCCAGAAATGCTGATCCAGCCCCACAGCCATGGATCCAGCACTGGCTGGGAAATACTTTTGTTCTGACTTCACATTTCAGCATTCAGAAACCTGCTGTGTAACGAGGGCTGTGAGCTGTGCTGGAAGGTATTGTGTGTGATTTATGAATATTTTTTATTGCAGCATTTAGAAACCCCGTGGTGCTAAACAACACAGGGATAGATTATCTAAGTTTTGTTAGACTGCAAGCCTATCTGAACAGAAAATGACTCTGTAGCTAAGAAATGTTATTTGTGCAGCAGTTCAGCCTTGCATCACTTCTTTGGACACGCTCATGCACGAGCCAGATGTTTTCAAACAAACTCTCTGTAAACAATAGCTTGGGAGGAAAAGCATTTCTTGCTCACAAACATGATCTGGTCTGCCCTTAAATCGCAACCAGTATTAAAAAAAACAAACTAAACCCCAGAAGGATGAGGTCAGCTCTAAAATTGACTTACTTAGTTTTGGTTTTAACTCTTTTACTAGTCTGTAGGGATTTTTGAGGTTTTTTTCCTTCTTTTTTCTCTGGGAATTTTTTCTAGTTTTTAATTGTTGGTTACCTCTGTTTCTTTAGGGAGGTCTCAACACTGATAGGTGTTCTTCACACAGGATTGCTACTTCATGGGGTTTTTGGTTTGTTTTTTGGTAAAAGTTGGGATTAAATTGTAAGATGGTATTTTTGTTTACATTTAGATGTTTATTACTTTTTATTTACGTTATAGTATTTTAATAAGTTATAGAATGGTTATGTATTTTTAATAATTTTTCCTAGAATAAGCAGTTTTCTATTTAAAAAGTACAAATTCTTCATTAATGACTGTAGAATAAAGTGGTGAAAATTAAACTTCCAACATAATTTCACTCCAGTCTTCATTATTATCTTGTAACACATCTGGAAATGGAATTTTTTAGCTATTTCCAGTATCTAAGGCCAAATACACCAGGCTTGATACATCAGCCATTTTACAGTTTTTTGCTAGAATAAGCAGTTTTCTATTTAAAAATTAAAAATTCTTCATTAATGACTGTAGAATAAAGTTGTGAAAATTAAACTTCCAACATAATTTCACTCCAGTCTTCATTAATGAACACCTGGAAGTAGAAATTTTTGTATCTAAAATAGATATCAGGCCAAATACACCAGGCTTGATTTCTGCAGCATGAGCTGTCTTGAAAATTGAGTCAAGATCAGAAGAGCCAACATGAAGCAAAAATTCCCTAAAAATCCCCAGACAAGACAACCTTTAGAGTGAGGGAAGCACAAAGTTGTCCCTGCAAACATTTCCAACCCCACCAATCAAGGCACAGAGACAGGAGTAAGGAATAAAAGGATGTTAAGCTTTGCATGATCCTTTTTGGAGCCTCAGTCTCCTAGACCCTCCCATCTTGCTCTGAAGGCTGACAGAGGCAGAGAACACACAGGGCTGAAGTCATTAAGCAGAGTGTTCTGTGTGCACTATGGAGGGGGTTAATAGCTACTCTGTAAGCAAAGCTAAGTTAATAGAAGAAATAATAATTAATGATTTTAAAGTGTATTTACAGCAAAGAAAAACCCCAAACTTTTAGCATAAAAATAGATTTTAAAAAATACATGAAAATTTTATAAGTTAAATTATGTATATAAATAAATGTATATACATATTTTATTAAATTTTATAAAAATTTTAGTTATTTTATGCTAATTGCTTTGGACTAATAAATTATTGTAATATAATTAATAACTTAAGATGACACATTATTAAAAGTATATAAGCTAAAAACACATAAAAAACCCCTTTTTTCTTCTTAAACTCTAATCATGTATATATATACACATATATATATACATATACACACACACATATATATATACATATACACATACACATATATATACATATATATACACACACATATATATACACATATACATACATACACACACATATATAATATACATATATACACACACACATATATATACATATACATATATACACACACATATATATACATATACACATATACACACACATATATAATATACATATATATATACATACATATATATACACACACACATATATATACATATACATATATACACACATACACATATATATACATATACATACACACACACACACACACACACACATATATATATATATATATATCTCCAAGCTGACAATAACAGTGCACACGGGCAGGGAGGCAGGGAGGCTGGAGAGGGAGGGAATGCAGGACACACAGAGCCACCCCTGAGGGGACAGGGCAGAGAATGGCTCTGGCCAAAGTGCAGACACTGCCTGCAGGACAGGGCTCTGCATGGGCACAGCCCTGACCTCAGCACACACCCTGATAGCGCAGTGACCCCTGAGTTGTTCTGGGGATCTTTGCCCAGTGACACACAGAGGGGAAGTGGATGCTCAGGGATGAGCTGGCTGAAGCTCTTCAGGGTGTCCCAGTAATTTATTCTTTCATTCCCAGTATAAAATTTGTACTTCCCAGACTGATAGCACACATTAAACTCTAGGGTGAATATCTTCATTAACAGACCACTAATTGTGACCGTGTTCACAGGGGTCTGAGGATGAGGGAAGAGACGAGGATCTGACTCCATGTTCAGAAGGCTTGATTTATTATTTTATGATATATATTACATTAAAACTATACTAAAAGAATAGAAGAAAGGATTTCTTCAGAAGGCTAGCTAAGAATAGAATAGAAAAGAATGATAACAAAAGCTTCTGTCTGGGACAGAAAGTCTGAGCCAGCTGACTGTGATTGGCCATTAATTAGAAACAAACATATGAGACCAATCACAGATGCACCTGTTGCATTCCACAGCAGCAAATAATCATTGTTTACATTTTGTTCCTGAGGCCTCTCAGCTTCTCAGGAGGAAAAACCCTCAGGAAAGGATTTTTCATAAAATATGTCTGCAACAACTAATCTCAAAAAAATACAAATTCTAAGAGCTTGAGTTTAGGAGAACTGGGGCAAGAGAAAAGGAAAGAGCAGGAGCCCTTGACATGGAATAGAAATGGGGAAGCTGGTGCAGAAGGATGCTCTCAGCTTGTCCAAAACAATCACATCAACAGCACACGTTGAAATAAACAACCTGAAATTGAGATTGTTGAAGTGCAATTGTGGTACTGAATAATCCAACAAAACTTTAATAAAAGAACAACCTTCTGTGGCTCTACCACAGAGCAGCATTAACAACCTGCTCACTGCCCAGCTCCCTGTCAGGAGCCCTCATTTATTGCACAGGGAGCAGCCCTGCCCAGGGCACTGCTGTGAATCTCATCTGCAAAATTTGGTGCCTGAGTTTCAGGCCCTGCAAAGAGAGCATCAGGAACATGAGGATGCCTGCTGAATGCTTGCCTAATTAATGAGTGAGAATCTACTGCACCCTAAGCTTATTGGAAGTCATGAGGGGAGCAGGAGGGCACTGAGGACATCCAGTCTACACTTCAAAAGATCAGGTCACAAATCAATTATTCTGGATTAATTTTATCCTATTAAGTAAGTCTTCTTCACAATTTCAATTTGTTTCATTTGTAGGATATTACGAATTCTAGCACCAGAAATAATTGCACTGAATAAAACACCAAAATATAATTTCCATGATGTGTTGATAGAGAGGGGAAAGGAAATAAGAGTTGTGGTAAATGGAACATGATGTATCTTGAGCATGGCCAGAAATTACCAGAGATGCTGTGGAGATATTCCTGTAAAATTCCATTGACTACACTAGACAAGAATGAGGTTTCTCTACCATCAAATATGCATTCTTGTTAGACAACACTGCAGCAAAAACAGCTCCTCAAAATACATTCTGCAATTTAATTCCAAATAAAGAATTTGGTTTAAAAAAGAATAAAATAAAATAAAACAAAACAAACCAATCCACTCTTTAATTTGCATTACACATCAGAGATTTTTATGTTCCATGCTCCAAAGTTCCATTTACCTCCTCTTCATTCCATTACACAAGGAATAGATGGTATTTCAAAAGGAAAACAGTTGTTTCTGTATTTATTATAAACAACAGTTGTTAGGATATGTGAGTGTTTTATTGCTATTTTATAAATATTGTTCTTAGAAACAGATCATAAAAGAGCCAGTGGGCCCTAAGGAAAAGGTTTCTTAACTTTCCTACCTCAATAAAATTAAAAGGACTTAGAGAATATGTAAGTACACCCATCACAGGCAGAATATTTTGATAGCAGTCAGAAACACTTGAATATTGTTCCTACTATGGATACTGAAACCAGAAATTTTTCTTCACAACTCTCAGTTTTGTGCAAATGTTGTTCATAGGTGAAAAACAAAAAAAAAAATCTTTTTATTATTCATCAATGAAAATGTTACAAAAATTGAAGTTCTGCAGTTGGGAAGGAAATGTCCCTGTGACCCAGATCTTGTTCCTGTGCACAGGTACAAAGCTCCAATAATTGTTATCCAGCTCCCTCAAACCAGGAGCCTGGAGCACATCAAAGCAGGGATTAGGAGAGAGATCAAAAGACAAGGCAGCAACAGTTTGAAGGATGCAGCTCTGTGAGCACAGCAGAGGGAATTTCAATGTCAGGCAGCACACAGGTGTGGGGGGACCCCTTGGCAATGCACGGGACACAGCCCAGGCCAGCCAGAGGAGGTGACAGCACAAGTGACATCGTGCCAGCAGCTGCAGCATGCCACCAGAGCTGCTGCACTCCCTGTGGAGCAGGAGCTGGGCATGATCCCTGTGACAGAACAGCACAATGGAGCCCCAGTGAGCGGATCTGGAGTGTGACAGGCTCCAGGCACGGGCTCTACTTGGTCGTGCAAAGCCTGCTTAAATGTTGTGACAGCTTTGTGACAGCACTGACAGCTGCACTGGAGGGAGATGGAGCCACTGGGATTAACCAATTCTGATGATTTCTGCAGCAAACTACAGCCTGAGCAGCACTGCAGGGTGGTTTGATGTTATCTCAGGGAGGAGTGTGCAAAATGCCCCATCCTTGGGACTGCTAAGAACAGGCTGGCTGGGGCTCTGGGGACAGTGCAGGTGTCCCTGCCCCTGGCACTGAGGAGCTGTAAGGTCCCTCCCAGCCCAAACCCTGCTGGGATCCCATGAACACGAGCACAGGGGGTGTTTGTGGGGTTTCAGCCCCTCAGGTAGGCTCAAGAGGATAAGTGGGAGGACTGCAGCTGCTCCAGTCTCAGAAACCCACAGTCCCAGTATGAACCAGTCCCCCCAGTTCAGTCCTGCAGGCACAGAACACACCTGTGCCACCAGCCCAAATGCTCCTGCTCAAAGAGCTGCACCCAAAGCAATCCACAGGCTGTAAAACAAACTTGATGTAGCTTTTCTTGAACAAAGTCTAAATGTTAGTCTGTCAACTTTAAGGTTGCCAAAATTAATGTTTGAAATAAACCAAAACAAGGTGGTTTTTTTTCTTTTGAACTCTCAGTGCTATATTTTGGTCACATCTACCAAGCATGTCTGTTCCACCTCTCCTGCACTCTGTGATGGCTCCCACAGTATCTCAGTGTCTCACAGAAGCTGGAACAGTCCTGCTACATCCCAGAAATTCCTCATCTGGCATTTCAAGCAAAGCAGCTGCCTGAAAGCTTCAGTGGCCACTAAACACAGGAGCTGCAAGAAAGTGCTTTTCTCAGCCAAGTTTTTAGCAGCTTTTCTGATCCCTCATCCTTCCCCACAGCACACTTTTATCTGCCCTGTTCCTTGCCAGATCCAGCCTTTGCCAGCCAGGTCTTTGAAGGGCTGCAGCTCTGGGTTGTGCCTCTTCTGCCCTTGGGTTAGTTATCAGAAGTGCTGTTATCTTTTATATGGTTATCTCAAGGACTTCCAGAGGAATGCCACTTACTGGTCACTGACAGGAACAGGAGCATCCTGCACTGAGGAATGGCAGCAAGGAATGGGACTAAGGAATGGCAGCAAGTCTCATTTCCATCCACATTTTCAAAACCTCTTTCCTTTTTCTTATTCAACACAATAAGGAAGTCTCATTTCCATCCACATTTTCAAGATCTCTTTCCTTTTTTTCAACACAACTGCTGAAATATTTTCCACAGTTCCTTTTTACCTTGTCCTCACTAAATGAGCTGAGGGCCATCCCCAGTAGCAGCTCTCTGTTAGCTCATGCATTAACTATTCAATGTTCCTAACACACAAGCCAAAAAATTCAAGGGTATCCATGGTTCTGCCCTACACTTAAATTTCTATAAGTTTATGACCCTTTAAGAGGCACAGTAAAAACTAATTTATAAGCTTATACATATTTAAAGCTGCAACACAGTCTCTTATACATGCTGTTAAAAAAGTTTTGCTATCTTTACACTGCAGCATCTTCCAGTGGTTTGTAATACCTTTCTAACACATTTATCAGCCAGCTCTCCTCGTTATCACCACTCAGTACTGGTGATACAATGAACACACTTAATTCCACCTTTCACAAGGTCTTCTGTGTCAGAGCACCAAACCCACTCCTTCCAGACAGAATTTTCCTTTTGGTGTCATTGTCAAATCTTTAGTTTAGTAGCTGGGTATGCTTAAGCAAGTGCAGGTTACAGGAAAACCAGCTGACACAAGTTTGGATTTTGTCTCCAAGGATCTTATGTTAAATCTCATCATCCAGCATAGAAAATACAAACCCTTTAATAAACCAAATCATCAAACCAAAATACTAGCAGGTCATTGGCAAGCAGTCAGCTGGACCATCTAGCAAATTATAATTTTACCTATTTCTAAACAGTGTTTAGAAATTTTCCTGTTTTCTTAGAAGAATCATAAAAAAGCCCTCCAAATATGTTTCAACATCAGCAACACTTAGCATTACCTCTTCATCTAGATTTTTGGAACAGCAGAAGAAATGTGGATCCTCAGCAGGAAATACTGCATTTAGTATTATTCTGATAAATGTGAAGGGAAAGCAGCACATGAGAATTACCATGAGCAAAACAAAATTGACAGTTCCTACTCAGTGGGAGAGAAGATGAAGCTGAGAAAAGAAACCAAGTTAACACTGATGGTAACATGAAGGAAAAATGTTCTTTCTACATGACAAACTTACCAGCACTGTTCGCCCTTGGGAAATAAAGAAATGGCCAGACTCCACAATGGTAAGGACAAGAGGACCTGATTCTTCATTTGATTCAAACACCTTTAAAAAGAGAGACAAAGGAAAATCTGGCTCTGCAAGCACAGAATCTACAGTTCTCATTTCTAGTGCCAAATAAAAGGTTTCAAAGGTTGCTGTTAGAAGCCAGGTGTGTATTTCATATCTCACTAATGCAACTTGCCCTTCACTCCCACAGACAGGAGGCACATTAAATGATTTTTTCACTAATTACACCTCCATATACAGATTTAACTACTTGGGACAACCCTCTGGATTCTTCCACCTTCATCTCTAGATTTTAATATCACAGGTTACTGCTGAATGAAGGAATAAAAAAAAAAGTGGGCCATTAACACTCTGATGTGTCGTCATTAATAATTCATGAAATAAAATCTCTCCCGATTGCTTCTTTAGCTCTAGACTCGCAAAAAGACACCTGAAAGACCTCATTTATTCGTGTTTGCCTCAGAGCAGAGTCAGTCACCCCACACCGTCCCAGCGCCCTCCCCACGCCGCCAGCACCTTCCAGGAGGTGATCTGCCCCTCATCGTCACCGTCCTTCGGGGGGAGGAAGCGAGCGTAGCGCTTCAAGGGCCACACTGTGGCGCTACCGAGGAGGGAGGTGTCCCCGGCGGTGCCCGGCGCTGAAGCCAGCCCAGGCTGGGAGCCACGACCGCCGCCAGCTGCCGCCATGCCGCGCTGAGGGGCTGAGGGCTCTGAGGGGGCTCAGGGTTATGAGGGCTCTGAGGGGGCTCCGGGCGCTGAGGGGCGGCGGCGGGCAGCGCGCGGGAGCTGGGCGGGAAGCAGCAGCCAATAGGAAGACGGAGAGGGCGAGGGGCGGGAATTGTTGGCCAATCAGCGCGAGGCGCGCGGGGGCTCGCGCCGCACCTTCTGTGGCGACCCAGCCTCGTGAGGGGCGGTCGGTTTTTTTTTTTTCCTCTGCGTTACCCCGCACAGGTCCTGACTCTCTCTTCTTTTTCTTCTTCTTCTCCTTCTTCTCTTTCCTTTTCGTCTTCTTCCTCTCCCCCTCCAAGGGCAGCGTGGCTACAGCCTCTCCCTGCTCTCAAGCAGCCCCAGGCCGTGCCGATGTGGCGGGTCCGGCCGTGGGCGCTGAGGGGAGAGAGGCGCGCGGAGGCCGCGGCCGCCATTTTGTGGCGTGAGGGGGCGCGGTCGACGCTGCGCAGCAAGGAGGAGAACGAGGATGTGAAACTCTCGCTGTCTGTCACTGCCCCTGTGACATGCCCGTGGAACCTGGCCAAGATGTCAGTGTGCATCCTTCCTCAGGTAGAAAGCGACAAGTTCCTGTAAAAACGCTGTCCTACACTCTCAATTCCCTTCCCATTTCTTCGTGGCGTTCGCTTCCTAAAGTTGCCACAGGGGTTTTTGTGGTATCTGAATTGAGGTCTGTCGAAAAAGCTGTTTTCAGTGTGTATGATGGTTTTAGCCAGTGTGAGCAAACAGCTGGATTAATAAATCAAAACTGCACTCTCCTCCCCATTTCAGCTAGTAGATGCTTCTACAATGATGTAATGCTATGCTTCCTTTGGACAAGGAGTGATGGTGACATGACTGCACTTTGATATTCCATTTATAGTACATACCTTGGCCTATTAACATTAAAAATGTGCATGAGCTGGGTGAGGTCATTGAGGGCACCCAGAGGAGCCTGGCACCATTCAGGAGTGCCCCAAATGGGCTGGTGGATGCCCCTCACCATGAGTTCAGCCATCCCAGTACCTTTAATCCCTGTTCTGAACATTGCCCACTGCAATACAATACACCTGACCAAGATGAAACTTGGGTAAATAATCAAATTAAGCAGAAAAAAAAAAAAAGTTTATGGCTTTTTTTCCCTGCTTTTCTTTACTGGTATGCTTTGCATTGATGTTGTTGTGTTGGCTGATATAAATAAAATTAAATTACTAGTGTCTCATCTGAAATAAAACCTTCAGGGATGAGGTTAACCTATTAAACTGTGATGGTTTAATCTGCATGCTTTAATCTAGATGGTTTAATTAGAAAATATTAGATTGACATTTATGTCCTGTGGCCCTTGTGTTTTTCATCTGATGCTGCACCCGAGAGCCAGTTTAGCATCCAAGGAACTATTTCCAAAATAAACAATTTTACAGAGTTTCCAAAGGGGAGGTGTTTATCTAAGCATTTTGCAGATAGGGAAAGGCAGGCAGAAAGGCATTAAATGACTTGACAAGGTCATCCAGAGACATCAGTAATGAAACTGGGAATTCAGTGTGGGCTTCCCAGCTGCCAGTTGCCTTCTCTAATCACTGCTTCCCCACGAGGCTTTCTCCAATTGTGCTTGTCAAATGTTCAGAATTTGCCAGTAGACTTGGGACTTTCTTGGAGTCTATAGAAGCTGAACATTTTTGTCAGAGAAAAATATGATGAGTACATGTAGGTAAAATATTTTCCCCTGTTTCAGCAGGAAACTGTTTGCAGCATTTATTTTGTGTAGAAAACAATTTCTAGTGTCTTATTTTCCAAGAGTGATTTTTGGCTTCTGCATGAACAAAACAAAAACCTAATACTTTACTAGAGCAAAAATGTCAAAGTGAGAGGGTGAGAGAGGCAGATGGAAAGCAAGAGCATCAGATACTTCAATCTCCTCATAGATTTTTGCTTTATTAGCCTCTGCTAGGACATTTTTGGACATGAATATGTGATTTTACATATAAATATATAGATATAAAGTCAAATGAGCATTGTGTTGAGACACATACACAAGTCTTTACAGATTCTTATTTCTTTGGGGAACTGCATGATTAGCTCTGGATTCAGAGAGCAGACAGAAGAAAATGGTTAAAATGTGGTTTGGTTTTTTTTTTTTTTTGTAAGAGGCTACAGAAGCTGCCAGTTTTAAAAAATTATGGAATAAAATGTAGAAGAAAGAGACAAGTAAAAGCTGTCAGGAGACTGACAGGTTAAAAGGTGTTTTATAAGAGATGAGATGGCAAATCCCATCAGGATGCCAAGGGTTTGTCACTGCTGTGTGCTTCAGGTTTGCCTCAGCCTTCACAGTGGTACAAGTTCATTTTCTCTCTGCAGAAGTTTCTGCTCCTGTTAATAAATTAGAGAAAGTGCCAAAAGCAGTGCAGGGACACAGATCCCTCCTTACACCATATGGATTTGATCATGTGCTGATAATTGTTAGATTTACAGGAGTCCATTCTGGTCCTGGGTGTTTTGCTGAACAATCTCCATTATTGATTTTTAATAATAATGGTGGTGATAAGAGCAGCAATAAAATCACAGCACCATGACTTTATTGTCAAGTGTGAGCACAGATTTGCCACAAGTGCTGGGGATGGACTGGAGGAGCTCACACAGATTGGACCAATAATGTATCAACACCATTGAGGGTGCATGAAATGGATGGAAATGAGCAACAAAAGGTGCTTCTGAGCAATTCTGGAGTTTCCCTGTGCTGCTGACCACTTCCCATCTGCTTCTGCCCAGCTCTGTTCAGGGCATCAATGGGATTCCTCACTGTGGCATAAATCAAAGGCTAGTGAAAACATTCTCTTCAGAATATTTGATTTATTGCTTTGGTTGCTGTAATAATTAGTGCTGCCTTGTGCTTTAGTTGCTTTGTTGGTAGCTGTGGTGTTTCCCCAGGTTCGTTGCATTAATTAATGTTTCACACAGTTCCTGCTTTCCTTGGAATGGGTCTGTGGGCAGAGCCTCCCTGCCCAGGTCTCTGAGTGCTGATGGAGTCTCAGCAGCTCTGATTGCTGCACAGCACTTCTGTGCCCTGCTCTGCCCAGAACACCTCATCCAGTGCTGCCAGCCTCATTCAGCCTGGGGGCAGATGAGCTCTGAGGTTCCTTACTCACAAATTGGAGGGTGTTGTTCTGGGCTGTGCTGCCATGGCCTCTGCTGACCTGGGCACTGGCAGCTGTTCTCACACTCACCTGTGGGAACTGCAGGCACTGAATTTTACTTATCACTTTTATGCTGTTCCACTTTCTCCTTGATAAAATCTACCCCTTTGCAATAAGCTTTACATTTTCAAGTGGAAATCTGAGGCCAAATCAATGTGTTTCTGGTGTTGTGTACTGCCAGTATCAGTGCAAGGTAGGAGTGAAGTCTGATGAATTGTGTTTGGCACCCACAAAATCAGAATGGTTTGGGTTAGAAGGATTCTTCAAGCCCACCCAGTGCCACCCCTGCCATGGGCAGGGACACTGCCACTGTCCCAGGGTGCTCCCAGCCCCAGTGTCCAACCTGCCCTTGGGCACTTCAGGGGATCCAGAGACAGCCACAGCTGCTCTGGAAAAAAAATTCATTCCTGCTATCCCAGCTAACCCTGCCTCTGGCAGCTGGAAACCATTGCCTCCTGTCCTGGCACTACCTGCCTGTACAAAAAGTCCTGCTCTATTTTTAAGCCTCCTTCAGGCCCTGGCAGGGCTCTGAGGTTTCCCTGGAGCCTTTTCCTCTCCAGGGGAGCCCCCCCAGCTCTCCCAGCCTGGCTCCAGCCCTGAGAATGTCTCTGTGCCCTCCTCTGGGCTGGCTCCAGCAGCTCCAGTGTGATGTGCTGCACCCCAAGTATTGCAGTTCCACTGCACAGACTCTTTCCTGTGGCCATATCAGCATTGAGATTGGCTTGAGAATCCTTCAAGCACCCTGAGCTCCCAGCTGAGTGTCTGCCATGATCCTTTCTATTTTCAGAAGTTACTCAGTTGTGTGTCTCCAAAGATTGATCCCATCAGTTCCCATCTTGTTGCTGTTTATCTGAAGGGTGGCATTCCTAACTTGTCAAATATCACGTTCCTCAGTGACACCTTCACTGGATGATCTTTAAGATCCCTTCCAGCCCAACCATTCTGTGCTCCTTTGATCTTCCTCCCCCAATGACATAATCTGTGAGGGTGTTTGAGCTTCAGAGGGCAGCTGTGGCATTCCCAGAGCAGTGCCTGTGATGGGCACAGACACAGGAGCCCTGTGGGTCTGTGCACCATGGTTATCACAGCCATGGGCTGTGCTGGGGTGTTTCAATCAGAGCCAGGAGCTGGGAACAGCTCAGGGCCACAAATGCCACAAAAGCTTTATCTGCTGAGGGCTGGGTGGCAGGCAGGGAGCAGCCTGTGCCAGGTGCTGGGGACAGAAAGCAGAGCTGTCCTCTGGCTCTCAGTCAGCAAGGACACACCAAAGCCAGCGTGTCACCCTGACTTCATGGGGTCTGTGACCTCCTTGTGTGATTTGAGACTCTGCTCCATAAAGCCTTGCACTTTTTCCAGGGAAGGTCACATTTGTTCAAACCAGAATTTATTTGCATTTCCTTTATTTTCTTGTAAGTTGTCTAACTTTAGCACTTGGGGCACAGATGAAGGAGCTCCTGCCTCGCAGATTTTTCATTTCCATAAAAACCCCACCCACAAACACCCTTCACTGTCAGTGCATCCATTTTGCTGAGTGCTTTTCATTTTCCATGACCTTGAAAACATGAGGGCGTTTATTAATTAATTCAGATTTACAGCTGGGTGGAGGGGAGAATTGCAGATGGGAGATAAGCAATTTGTTGTGTGCCCCTTATTTGATGAGGATTACAGGAGAAAGAGTCCAAGCCATTGCCAGGACTCCCCATCACAATCAACTCTGTTTTTCATTTAACCACTGGATGAGGAGTGACCCGAGCAGGGGGAGAGTCTGAACTTGGAGGGATTGTTGTGAAC